CGCAGCTCACAGCAACCTATAACTCTTGGGCTTAAGCAATTCTGTTCCCTCAGACTTCTGAGTAGCTGGGACTACAGGTGCCCACCACAACACCCGGCTATTTTTTATTGCAATTGCCACTGCTGTTTTAACTGGCTGGGGCCAGGTTTGAACCTGCCACCTCAGTATATGGGGCTGGCACCCTACCCACTGAGACACAGGCGCCACCCAATATACTCATCTTTCAAGACTTGCATACTCTAGTAATCTCCAGGTTTTAGTGAGAGAGTTAACTGCTTTCTTTACCTAGATGTCCTATGGCACTTTGAATTATGTTTATTTTATTTTATTTTTTGAGACAGAGTCTCATTATGTTATTATGTCACCCTCAGTAGAGTGCCATGGCATCACAGCTCACAGCAACCTTAAATTCTTGGACTTAAGCAATTCTCTTGCCTCAGCCTCCCAAGTAGCTGGGACTACAGGTGCCCACCACAACACCTGGCTATTTTTTTGATGCAGTTGTCATTGTTGTTTAGCAGGACTGGGCCATGTTCAAACCTGCCAGCCCTAGTGTCTGTGGCCGGCACCCTATCCACTGAGCTACAGGCACCGAGCCATAAAAGTCAGTTCTTATTCCAAAAATTTACTTCCAAATCTAAGAAAATAGTACTCTTCTCACTAATTAGTAAAAAGATTACTTGTGTTCAAAGATACATAACTGTCTTTCTCACCAAGTAACACACAGGAGTGTTACAAGGTTGAGGAATTATGGCTTTAGTCATTTCTTTCTCTTTCTTACCTGGTAGGCTATGTTTGTTCAGAATAACACATAGGCTAAACATTTTGGCTAAAAATATCAGATAGCTAAAAGATTTTTATGTAAAGAGCTTGCTGAGGTAACAAGTTTTCCTAAATTGTGGGTGTCACCTAAAAATATCTCCTGTAGAATTGGAGGGAAAGTCTTTTTCCTTCATTTGGAAAGTGTTGGCCTTTCTGAAGAACAGATTGAAAAATACATATCAAAAGTCTTAAAAGCATAAATGCTCATTGACCGTAATTCTTTTTTTATTTTTTTGAGACAAGGTCTCACTCTGCTGCCTAGGCTAGGGTGCGGTAGAATCATCATAGTTCATTGTAACCTCAAACTCCTGGCCTCAGATGATCCTCCTGCCTCAGCCTTCCAAACTGTTGGGATTATAAGGCTTGAGCCATGACCCAGTGTACCCAGCCTTGTCCTAGTAATTCAATTCTGGAAATTTTCTTGAAGAAATTAATCGTGGACGGATACAGACTTTTAATCTTGATGTTGTTTGTGGTAGTGAAAATTAGAAACATCCAAGAATAGGGAGACTAGATAAAATGATAGTCATATGATAGAATACTATACAACCATTAAATTGATTTAGAATTTTTAATTAAAGGGAAAATTCCATAATGTATTTATTAAGGAAAAAAAGCAAGTGATAAAAATACTATATATAATGTGACCCACTTTTATTTAGAAATGAGGTTAGTTCATTTTTAAATTGATATCTGTTTAATTTTGGGGGGCAGGTGCTTATTTATTCCTTCCAGTTTTTTTTATAGTAACTGTGTAATGCTTTGTAATGAAACAATTTCTAAAAACTAAAATTTTTTCGATTATTCTACCTATAGGGAGATTCAATGGAGCTTGAAATATGGTGTCTTGAAATGAACGAAAAGTAAGTGCTCTGTTTTAGGGTCTGTGGTTGTGGTTGCTAAGGATAAAGCAGATGACATCATGTGAAAAGCTTTGTTTTCAGAGTCATGGAGGGCATTCTGAGCACTTAACAAAGCCAGTAGGTCTTTGCTACAGTTTGCTTCATGCTTGGTTTCCAGCCTAGGCACAGAGATGACCTTCAGAGGGAGCATCAGTCTGAAGAGACTTAGACACTACAGGGAAAGGAGCAGCATAGAAAGCTTAAAAGGATTTGTTGTTTGTTCCCAGAGTACAGATAGTTCTCTGATTAAATCCCTTGGGAGCTCTTGTAACATGACTACTCTATTTTGTCTGTTTTCTATGTGGCAGCCATCCAATAAGATTCCCCTCACTGCTCCTTTGTACAGACTGTGTTGGTCATGGATTGGAAATGCATGTTATTTCCCTCCCCCATTTTCTTCTTTCAAGGCAGATTAGCTTACCTCCTGCCTGAAGCTTCAGTTTTCAAGAAGAGTATATAGGAAAATTGAGGAAATATCAACACATCAAAAGAAAAATCTTAGTGATAAGTATGTGTGGTGCGGGCCTTATTTTTCTTTCTTAAATGCAAAGCAATTGCCAGGATATGGTCCAAAAGTTTAGTACCAGACTTTTCTCTACATTTCCTGTTAGATTATAGAGACAGCTCATAAGAGAGTACATTGATGTTATGTTTGCACCTTCAGTATATGTAATTTATTGTCTTCAAATGTGCTGTTTTGTTTCTTAGAAACGTTAACCACTTCAAAGCTAGAAAAAAATACATGGAGTACCTTTTGGTGCTCATCCGCCTGTGTCTAGTGCATGAGAAAGTAAAATTTTGTCTTTCTTCAATCTATTGATAAACTGACAACTCTAATTACACTTTTAGTTCAGAATGTATTTCAATGATAGATTTGGTCTTACGGAATACCAATACATAGTAGGAGAATGCTGACTGTTTCTGTGTGCTCCTCAGGTGTGATAAAGAAATCAAAGTGTCCTACACGGTGTACAACAGACTGTCATTGCTGCTGAAATCTCTCCTTGCTATAACTAGGGTGACACCAGCCTACAGACTCTCCAGAAAACAAGGGCACGAATATGTCATATTATACAGGTAAACAGGATAGATATTCATCTTGATTCACTCATTAGCCTCGTCAATTTGCGCATAGTCTGACTGGGATTCAGGTGCTCTGACACATGGTTGGTTGGATTGTTGATGCTATAGCTTTAATATGGTCACTATGGGCTCAGCGCCTATAGCTCAACCGGCTAAGGCGCCAGCCACGTACACCTAAGGTGGCGGGTTCGAATCCCCAGCCGGGACCCGCCAAACAACAATGATGGCTGCAACCAAAAAAAAATGGCCAGGCATTGTGGCGGGCGCCTGTGGTCCCAGCTACTTGGGAGGCTGAGGCAGGAGACTCGCTTGAGCCCAGGAGTTGGAGGTTGCTGTGAGCTGTAATGCCACGGCACTCTACCCAGGGGGACAGCTTGAGGCTCTGTCTCAAAAAAAAAAAAAAAAAAAAAAAATATGGTCACTATGCGGCTTCCCTTAGGAACCTTAGTCTTTCAGAGCTACCTGGTTCAATTCCTTTTGTCTGTGCAGTCATAATTTCTATGGGATGTGTTTTGAGATACTACGGATATACATCTCAAAGCTGGGCAGGGAACTTATGACTTTTAAAAACAGGCTATCATGGCTTGGCGCCAGCCACATACACCAGAACTGGTGGGTTCAAATCCAGCCTGGGCCAGCCAAATAACAATGGCAACTACAACCAAAAAGTAGCCAAGCATTGTGGTGGGTGTCTGTAGTCCCAGCTACTTGGCAGGCCGAGGCAAGAGAATTGCTTAAGCCCAGGAGTTGGAGGGTGCTATGAGCTGTGATGCTACGGCACTCTACTGGGGGCGACAGCTTGAGACTGTGTCTCAAAAAAAAAAAAAAGCTAAAAACAGGCTATCCTGGGAAGATGGGAAGATCCCACAGCTTTCTATATTCCAGGGTTAAGTTAAAACTTATTCTCTAACAAATTGCTAATTTAATTTAAGTCATTGATTATAAAGAGCTAGTCAGTAGTTAGTTATTTTCCTTGAAGTTTCACCTCAGCACATTTATTTGGTATGTTTTTAGTGTGAGCATTGTGGTAGATACATAGAAGAACCATAAAGAGGCCCTGCACTAGGGATGTCTCTAATCTAATGGGGGAAACAGTTTGCTGCAATGCCTGGCCTATAGTTACTTTTATACATATTTTTTAGATACTTACGAACATTTCTTTTTTCTTATACTAGCATATAATGTATGAGACCTAGGATTCAAATTTGTCCTTATTTCATCTCTGACATCTAACCATGGGGCTTTATACATTATTGGAACTTGGTATTTATTGAATACACCCATGTATATGTTTAATTTTTAACAATATTACTTAAAAAAATAAGAAAATGCATTTTAGGTGTTTTGAATTCAGACTTGCTAATATAGATTGGCCTTTCCAGGGAGATTTATGGGAAGGTTCTACTGTGTTTATATTTTTATTTTTTCTGAATAGTCTTGCCTAGCTATTCTATGGTGGAAAAGATTTTCTACTTTCTTAATCCATTTACTTTGGAATGACTTGTGAAAAGCATGAAGAGTTCCCCATAACTGAAGACTACTTATCAAAAACTAGTACCTTCCAATAGCAGTCCCAAACCTATTGACTAATTTTATTTATATATTATTTATTTCCCAGTATGTATACTTCAATTGATTGATTGATTGATTGATACAAAGTCTCACCTTGTCACCTTCAGAAGAGTGCCCTGGTTTCATAGTTCACAGCAACCTCAAACTCTTACGCTCAAGCAGTCCTCTTGCCTTAGTCTCCCGAGTAGCTGTAGCTACAGGCGCCTACCATAACACCTGGCTAATTTTTCCATTTTTATTTATTTATTTATTTTTTGAGACAGAGCCTCAAGCTATACCCC